TATATATATATATATATATACATGTAAGAAGACTGAAATGGTGTATCGATACATTAAAATAGTGTAGTGGCTCTTTTTTTTCCATTTTTTTTACAGCAAACTGTCAAATTTTTGCTTTAATAATCAGCTGACATAAGTTGGTAAATTGAAAAAGAAGCTTTATTTATTTTTTTATTCTTTTAGTTTAATACTTTTTCTTCATCATATTTCTATCGTTTGATAAGACCAATAAGCTGTTGGCGTTATTGTTACCGTCATCATTAATAGTAAAAAAAAATAAGAAGAAAAATAAGTTTTCCAACTCTTTTAAAATACTAATTGTTTTTGTTGTACAGTAAAAATATGACTATAAATTGCACTTATTGACAATTTAATGTTTGCTTACCTAATTTTCGGTTTTTTTTTCAGGATCTTCAGCTCCGGAGATTCTTTTGTCAATTATTGAGGTAACATAGGAATTTTTTTGCATTTTACATTTATATTTGTGTTTGCATTTATGTTTGTAACAGCAATGGACATTTTAGGTAATAGGTAAAGGTTTTGAAGCCGGTGATTTGGGGCCAAATACAATTGTCGGTTCGGCAGCATTTAATCTGTTTATGATTATTGCAATCTGTGTTCTTGCTGTACCCAGTAGCGAAATTAGACGACAGAAGCATCTAGACGTATTTTGTGTTACAGCTACATGGTAACATAAGAAACCATCTAATTTTTTATCTGCGGTTCTACCCTTTCCTTTTTTTGGGGGGAGGTGGGGGGGAAGCGGTTCTAACAACATAAATCAATGTTTAAACCTTTGTTTGACTTACAGTTCTCTGGTCTTATAGTTTTCGTTCTCTCAGTTATACGGTTCTTACCCTTAAAATTATCCAAGCAAAAAGAAACTTTTTTTGCAGGTCACTCTTTGCTTATATATGGCTTTATTTGATTCTTTCTGTATTTTCACCTGGTGTTATTGAAATATGGGAAGGTTTCTTGACATTTTTGTTCTTTCCAATAACTGTATTTACCGCTTGGGTAGCTGATGTTAAAATTATTCAAGTATGTGCATATTTATATTTTTTTACTGGTGTTATTGCCGTTGTTTAGTTTTTATTAGTACAATTATCTAACTTACATTTTAATTATTACTAAAGTGTTATTTATTAGCAGTGAAGATTGCCCTAAAAATATTGACAATTTTTTCTGAGAAGAAAGTTTAACTGGGAATTACAGTTTACTTGTAACTAATAACAAATGTAATAAGCCAGAAGAAAAAAGGATGGCACATGTACGATGACAAATAATACATTTTACAGAAACGTTTTCTTCCTCATCGTTATCGACGAACATCACGAGGCCTTGTTGCAACAGAGGGTGAAGAAATGAATATGTTAGAAGGCAACGGAGCTGTAAAGGTTGATCAAAAAAATTTTTTAATTAATTTTAAGAAATTAAATTCAGTTCAATAGTACTAACGAATTATGCGGCTTATTTAGTGCACTAATTTTTTTTTAATATTTTATAATATAGGACGGCATGATTGATCCGGCACTTAAAGCATTTGAAGATAATCGAGACACATTTATCCAAATAATGCGCGACATTAGAAAGAAAAATCCTCGCATTGATCCAATTGAACTTCAAAAACAAGCTGAATATGAAATGATTACTCGTGGTCCAAAATCCCGTGCTTTTTACCGGTAAAAATACACTGAACACAAAAATTGTAACAGTTTTACTGGTTAACATCAACGCAAAACTTTTCTGACCTTATCAAAATTTTAGTGTGCAAGCAACTCGACGACTTATTGGTGGCGGCGATATTGTTAGGAAACGTATTGACAAGGAACACCACAAATCTATTGATGCTGCAAGTTTTTTTGTATTGCTAGCTGAAAAATTATTTCTAATGCTTTTTTGTAAGCTAGAATAATCAAGTTACTTTCTTTTTTTTTAACTTTAAATTTGTTCATAGATTTTTAGCCGTCACTACGTAATAGTCTTTATCTAAATTTGCAGATAATACAAGCACAGGAAGTTCAAGCACGTAAGAATACATGTCGCATCTATTTTGATCCAGCTTTATATACTGTACTGGAGAACATTGGTACATTTGATATTGTTGTTGGACGTGACGGTGGACCCGATGGTTTAACAATAATGGTTGACTATTATACCGAAGATGGTACTGCAAACGCCGGAAGTGATTATGTACCCGTTAAGGGTACACTAACATTTTATCCCGAGGATAAACTTCAAGTATGATTCCGACTAAAAGTTCATCTAGAAAAATGACTGATATTGACCTATAGTAGCTTGGAAAACGACTCCCCATTGATGAAAACGTATGAAACGACGCCGAGAAAGGCTGACATTGTTCGGTTCGGATGCTCAAATTGTTTACTGAACCTTTTTTGTTTGATTACTTGTAGAAAATAAACATCGAAATTGTGGACGATGATGTTTTTGAAGAAGACGAACATTTCTTTTTACACCTAAAAAATTTACGAGTACGAACAAAAGACGGTCTAATAATTGATCCAAATCGGATTGGTGGTGTTCCGGTTGCTGCACTTGAAATGCCCGCTACAGCAACGATAATGATTTTAGGTTTTTCGTTTTTGTTGTTGTTTTTGTTTTTGTAAATATTCTGCTAAAACAGCCAGTCAAAACTGCGTTATTTAAATAATATTTCTAAATAAACTTTTTTTAAAACTATTTCAAGAAACTCTTGCAGATGACGATCATGCTGGTGTTTTCTCATTTGAACACGATCATTTTCAAGTTGTTGAAAACTGTGGTTATCTGTCACTGAAAGTACAAAGAAATTCTGGTTGCAGGGGCAAAGTCATTATTCCTTATCGGTAGGTATAATTAATTGCTGTTTCTATGCAAAAAAATTTTTTTATTCATTAATAAAGCGTTAAGCACAAAAAGTGAGTTTTGTTTTGGGACAAAAAATAGCTAACTGGAAAAAAATAAGAGAATCTCTTGCTTATACACATACTGGAAGACAAGAATTGTTTTCGTAAATAGCATTTCTGTAGAAGATGGTCTCCGTTGCATACAAATCACACGCACGTCTTTTTCCCTGATTTATTTCTTTTTAATTTTCTCGCAGCAGAATAGCCATCGCTATACCGCTGCATCTGGCAACTTTTTCTACAGTAAGACATTTCCTCTACAGTTTGAACGGTAAAATTTTCACAACTTTATGTACGGCCGGTAGTTTAAATGCATCTTTGATAGCAAAAAAGTTGAGCATAAAATCTGATGCTTTTGAGTGAAAATTAGGTTTTGCTTTGGTCGCCAGGAATGTCGGTCATCATGTAGCTTCCGTTACTTTGCTTCGTAACTTTCAGGACTGTCGATGGATCTGCAATAAATGGAAAACATTTTGATGCCAAAGAAGGTGAATTAATTTTCGAGGATAACCAAACTGAGTTAGTTTTTTTTTAAATAATTTTTTTGTCAGTTTTGTTTAATGATTAATTGTACTGCTTTTTTTCAATTGTTACTTTAGAGCATTCATTGACATTGGAATTATGGATACTGAACAGTATGAAAGATCCGACCACTTTTTTGTCGAAATATCACAACCGATATGGGCAAAAAAGATGTCAGGTATGGTGAAAATTGCGAATTGTCTAAAAAATAAAAAAAAAGTAAAAGTGAAGAATTTTGCACATTTATTTCTATGACTATTGCTATTATTACTGTTATTATTATTATCAATATCATTATTAAAATTCTTTTTATTTTTTTTTCTGTTACTCACAAAAAATAACTTTTCTGTCAGTGAAATTATTCTTTTTTTTCTGTTTAACAAGGCAACGTAAAAAACTGGTAAAAATTGTTTCCTTTTTTTTAATTCTAACTTTCAAATAAGTGTTTTACTGTTTTATGGAAGAACGAAGTTTTTGTCGTTCAGTATTTTTTTTTGTTTATTTTTGTATTTATTCGTTCTTTATATGTTTACTGATTTATTTTTTGCTAATTCAAACTTACAGTTAAGAATTAAATGCAGCAAAGTCTACACTTCTGCGCTGATGAAAAACAGTTAACCACTGCAAAACAAAAACAAAAACAAAAAAACAAAAAAAAAACGTTTGACTTTGTTAGTATCATACATATAGTAATGCAAAGTATGTCTATCTGCTTAAGGTACAGTTACCTGACTAAATGGATTTATATTTGGAAGAAACTTGAAGTAATATCAAAAAAAACAACTTTTTGTAAAATTTAAGATACACTTTTGGACTGAAAAAAATGAACATAAATTGTTCTTTGTTTTTGATTGTATATAGTTCAAAAGGTTATTAGTGAAAGAATGAGGTTAACGGTTGTAGTTGGCACAAAGGTTGTTATGTTGGTCGTTCATTTGCCTGTATCTTTGCATGAATACTTTTTTTTTATTTTAAAAGGAGGAAAAAAAAGGAAAAAAAAAAGTTGAAAAGTATCATCGAACAATGGAAGCATGCTATACTTGTGACAACCCACAGACAACAGGTATTTTTACTGTTTGCTTTGTTCTCAGATTTGAAAAAGGTGCAGGAGCGTTTCTTAAAACGCATGGAACGTCGTCAAACAGCTTCGACACTCAGTCTCGACAATACATCCGCTCCAGAAGAAGGTATTCGAATGCAGATATGCGCAATAAATTTATTTTCTTTCAGTTAAAAAGAAAAACAAAAATTCTTTTTTATAATTTTATTTTGAACGAACAATGTAGTTGCATCATGTAAAATGATTAGATGATTTTTGATGATATGAGCTTGCTGCAAGTCTTATTTGTGACAAGCTTTCGGTTTTCCATTTCCCCACTTAGTTTTTCTTCACATGCTTGAGCATGCTTGCCTTATCAAGCTCGATCTTCTTCTATTTGTCCTTTTAAGTCTTCTTGTCTTTATCATTCTTCTTCTTCTTCTCTTCTTCTCTCTTTGCTTCTGCTTTTGCCTCTATTGTCTCGTGTAGTGGTAATTATCAGCTGTCGTATTTGCTGTTAATCAAATATATAAATCTTCTGTATGAATAGATGAAATATGTTAAGATGGCGCTTGTTCATTGTCATTTTCTTATACTTCTTCAACACTTACTGCTATTAATATGTTTGTGCAAATTTTTTGCTTTTTTTAAAAATAAATATTCTATAATCAGTTTAGCAAAATAATCAGCTTCAACTTTTGTTGTTTAGCTCTCCTTAAGTGATGTCACCAAAAAGCTTTCTAATACGTTCTAATTACGTTTTTATTTTGCAGCTTTCAAGAGCTTAAGCAGATTTTCACTTTTTTTTCTGTTCTGTTGTAGTAATGTCGGAGGGGTTAAAGTTAATCGGCTTTCTTCTTCTTTGATAACATCACCACTCTATCTTTTTTGTCTGCACCAGTTTCATAAAACTTATCAGTAATGTAACACAAATATTCACATAAACGCATCAGTTTTTTTTTGCCAGGTTTCAGGCTTTTCTACTCATGTTTTAAGAGCTGATACAAACAAATCACAACGAAGATGTTCAACACCGACACCGGTATTACCCAAGCGTTTCAAGCGACGCTTGTATTCATATGTTCCAGGCAGCCAGACCTCCGGTTGCCTAGGCTTATTCAGCGAATCTATCCAAAGTTAGCTATACATATGAACACTGTTCTAGCGCATGTTTAATGCTTTCAGATTTCTTTTTTTTTTTTCTGTTTTGTTGCATTGTTAAGCACGGATTGCTCAGTCGTTGTCGGAAAATGTCGGTCATTAGTTGTGTTTATAATAGTTGGCATGCTACACTAACTTTTCTTGTAAAAAAAAAAAAAGCTAGCTAGCAAATCTTATTTTTGTCCTGTTTACTGCACGGTTAACTGTCTGATTCACTTGTCCATATGAAAAGATTTTGTT